ATGTGCCTCGATGAGGGTGCTGGCTGGCTTCATTACTCACAGGGACTCTTCTTGCAGGTGGAGCCTGGACAGCCTTCTGGGTGTTTGGGAGATGCCCCACTCCCCAACAGGAAACAAATGGCTACCTTTCCAGTAAAGGACACCCTAAACGCAGGGAGGAGGCAGGTGTTGCTAAGAAACTATGTCTGCATCTCACCGGGACAAGGCCTCATCACCACCTCAGCCTAGCTCTTTGTATTTATTTTTGTCTTTAGTGTTTATTCTTACATCTCATGACTCACCCTGGCCCTTCCACATCTTTACATATTCACAGGCCTTGTTGCTTTCTTATGAATATCACTTTGGATTTAATTTTTTCTTCCACATATTCTGATTTTTGCGGCATGATCTCCTAGGTAGCCCAGACTGGCCTTGAACTTTCCACTCTCCTGCCTCAGTCTTCTGAACGCTGGAACTTCAACCACACATATTGCAAGAGCCTAGCAGTTAATTTTAACGTGGGGGGGGTGGAGTGGGGGAGTAAATGTGGTGCCAGACATGGTTATGGTTTGCAATTGAGGAAACAAGCATGTATTATTCTTGCCCTTAAAAAAGTTTTGCCAGAAAGGGGCACTAGTATCTAGTCAGCTTCAGAATGAGTTTAAAATAACCAATCTAGGGGCAGGAGAGATGGTTCAGCAGTTAAGACCACTAGTTGGTCCTGAGTTCAATTCCCAGGAACCATATGGTGGCTCACAACCATCTATAGTGGGATCTGATGCCCTCTTCTGGCATAGAGCACTCATATAATTAAAATAAATCTTTTTAAAAAATAAAAATAAATGACTAGTCAAGTAGCTAATATGTAGGTGGATTGTGACCAGAGAACTGTGGTACCAAGGTTTTGATTCTTAGACTTGCATAGCCAGGTCAGAGGGGTTGGTTTAAGGCCTTCATGGATTTAGTTAATTCTTCTCACCTTCCATGATGGCAGCATTCCATGATGGGTGAGTTGAGGCTTGGGAAGCCAGGCAGCAGACCCCAGCCCTGGCCACACACCCTACAAGATAGGGTTCTGGAGGGGATGGGAGAAACTGATCTCCTCAGTAGAACTCTGTGCTTCTGCTCTCCTGGGTGGGTATTGCAAAGTGAATCTCTGAGGAGCTTGGGGAAAGGCGGCTTCCTCTGTTCGCTACCATCCAGCTCTGTGAAAGGCTGTGGGTGAGCAGGACTGTGACCAAGGCCTGGGAATGATATGCTCAGGACCACAATGACAAAGTCTTATACATTATATAGAATAGGTCCAGCCATGGTAGAGGCCACAGGAAAACCCACGCTCCCTGTATGGTACGAAAGGAAGATGCTTCCCATTAGAGAGTACAGGACAAGCCTGTTGTAGGAAGTTCTTGGCGCTGCTCTCCAGGGTTTCCTTAAGGACACACGGGGTGGGGGGTGGGAGGGAAGGCTGGGGGTGTCCAGGCCAGGGCTTCAGAGGGACATAGGGCTGGGCGGCCACAGTACAGAGCACACACATCAGAAAACCAGACAAGATGATGCTGGAGGAATTTGCAGGGAGAAGGAGGCAGAACTCCATGTATTTTGCTCTTTGTTTGAATCTAAAACACAGCTTTAAGTTATTAAGCATCCTGGACTGGCACAAGCATTTTGGGCACTGCAGTTGGGAGCAGAAAGATACTTGGGGGAAGGATCTTCAAGATAAATGTCAGGAATGAGAAACAACGGGTCCCTGTGACCTCACCGCCTCCTTCAGGGTTCTCAACCACCCATGGAGTGTCCCTGCAGTCCCGGCCTGTGCCTGCTCCTGGCAATATTTTGGCTGCCCTCAAGTCAGTCCTACTTAACAGGAACCCACTGTTACATAGTCGGGTACATTCTAGCTGCTTATTAGAGGGACCGTCTATGGAATCTTCATGGCCTTGTGCTATGAAGGCAGGAACCCCTTTTTCTGAAGTCTTTTGGGAAAGGGCATAAAGCACCCCCAGAACAGTCAGGGGACCATATTCTGTGCAGCAGCAATTCTTCTAAATATAGAACACAGAGCAATCACACGAAGGAGGAAAGAGATGTCCTTGGATGCTCCGCAGAACAGGCGGATGACAAAGCTGCTAAGAGGGTTTTGCGTTGAAATCCTGCGCTCCCCGATTTAGCAGAAGGCTCCCTCTGCTCCCTCACGTGAGTGGGCTGCGATGATGGCATTCTGAGGCTTACCACTTCACCTTGTCCCAGGCCTGCCTTCACAGGTACATAAATAATCCCCTGGACTCTGGCAGTTTCTTTTTTTAACCCCCATGGAAGTAAATTTACTTATCCAAACTTGAGCTATCTCTAACATTTGCCAGATCTCCCGGGCCGATTTCTTTTCTTTTTTTAAACTCATCTTCACGGCAGGAACATAAAAGGGGGCGATCCATAAACATTTCAGACGCTTAATATACTGCTTCCTCTAGGTTGCTCGAAGCGGAAACGCTGCTCTTGAGACGAGGTGGGCATCTCTCAGAGTCATCACGAGGGCTCGCCATGCACTTGGCCACAGCTGAAATGTGTTTTAATAAGGCCCTTCCCCTTTACAAGCCCTGTTGCCTTTCAGTTCCAGCCCTCAGCCCAGGCAGGGAGGAAGATGGCTCTCAGATATCCTTTTGTTACTCTAATCGGAGCCAGAAGGGCCGTATTGACTTTCGGGCCTGTGGGGAGTTGTAGCTCTTTAGTATCTAGCTCATCCAAGAAATCAAGTTTGATTAATTTGTCATCAAGCAAAATGTGTGATCCGCTCGGAGCCAACTCTTTGAAGTGGAAGGATGGAGTTGGGCTGGAGGCCCGGGTCAGGAGGCGACTCAGCAGTGATGTCCCAGGGAACAGTGCGCGCACGTGGACACAGTAGCCTGCTCACACCCGGCACTGCTGCTTTTACTTTCAAAACCTTTTCCGCGCAAGTGTTCTAAGTGGGCTCCTCCCTGGCAAAGGTTCCCCTTTGCCGTCTTTGTTAAAACAGAGTGACTGGAGCTACAGAGCAGGGGAGGCCTAGCAAATGTTAGGCCACTCCACAAAGCCTTGGGGTGGGAGGGTGTGACCTCCTGCCAATCTAACAAGCCCACTGAGAGTTGAGGGCTGGAGAGCCGTGGGGCCTCACTGGTGTCAGCCCGCGCTTCCGGAATGAATATGGAAGGGGTCTCCCACTGGGTCATGGGGCAGATGCTCATTTATGACGCTCTGGTCTTGTTAACCTGCACTTAGTGGAGTTCCTGATTGCTGAAAATGCCCTGAGATACTTAAGCCAGGTCTTAGTGTCACATTTCTTGTTCAGATGCTATATATGGTTTATAAGGAGTTACAGGGCTTTGAAAAATTACAGAGTAAGCCATCTTGATACATTCCACAGTGTAAGAACCCCACAGTTAACATGCTGGTGCATGGGCCTTTTTATGACTGTTACCCCTCAGGTGTGTACATGAAGGCCTAGTGAACGAGGGAGCAAAAGTCAGGGGCTCGCTCAGCTTTTAAAGAGGCCTGGGAAGTGCCAACAAATTACAAACAGCCTTTGTGGTTACTGACTCCAGTGTCTACACTGTTATTAGAGAATTTTAAAATAATAAGGGGCTTAGCGAATTCCCTCGGCTCTAGAGAGCTAAGGATATCTCTGAACTGAAAACAAAAGTAAACTTTGCTTATGATGCCATTCAAACACTTCAATGAGTCTGTACTGTAGGCCACATATGGGGAACGCAAAGGTGTCTGAGTTAATTTCTTCCCCCTTTTAGGTCTAGTGGTCCTATTTTAATACCGTTAGTCTAAATTCTAAGCTCCATGAAGTAGTGAGGATGTGCCGTTTATGTTTGTGTTTTCTGGGCCGAGCACACTACAGCTGATCAGCAATCACTTGAAGAGGAATGAGTTAGTAGAGCATATAGAAATACGCGATGGAAACGCCCTTCAGCTTCCCTTTAGGCCGTCAGTGACTAAAATAAACTCACGTGGGAGCCCGGGGATAGATGGCTAAGCCGTCAACATACTTGTCATACATGCTTTCGGACCTCAGTTCCATCTCCAGGACACACGACAAATGTCACCTGTGGGAGCAGTACATGTTGGGCAGGCAGCAACTGGCAGGTCCAGGAGGCCTCTCTGGCCAGGCTCAGGTCCCAGTAAAAGTAGACAGCTCCTGAGAGCACCCAAGATTGTCCTCCAGCCTCCATAAGCATATCCACGCGCACACACACGCGCACACACGCGCACACACATGCGCGCGCACACACACACAATAATGACGACAATAAAACATTCACAACACACAAAGAACACTTGAGACTGTCCAACAGTTACCTCACAGTTACACTGCTGGGTGTCTCTAATTCACAGTGGAGTGGACAATACCAGGCTTACATTTCACCATGGATTTGTTCAGCCTAGAAAACCTTTCCATATAAACTGAACTTCCTTTGCATATTCCCAAGAAAGGCCCATAATATTGTCCAAAAACAATTCATTAGAAAATTCATTTAGGTTTTAAATTTGCTTGTGGCAAACCAACTCGGAAACCAAGTACACAGAACCCAATGAAGGGGGCAATTTTCTTATCCCTAGGTGGCAAGACGAGGCACAGTGATCAATAGTTTTGGCCAGCGTACCAAAGACTCTCATAGAGCCCTAACCAGGTAAGCTGGGTCAGCACCTCCACTGGCAAGTGAGCAGGCCTCCCTGTATCAGCCACCCTTGGTACCACAGAGACCAACCTGAGAAGTGCCTGCTGCTAATTCTCTACCCAACGCAGTTCCCTGCTGCGCCCTTGCGCTGCTATTTTGAAGCAGCTGACTCCTCCTTCTTAACGATGAGGAAACTGTGACTCAGAGCAGTTGAGTAACTTGCCCTAGGCACCAGCTAATAGGATTTGAGCCCAATAATTAAGCTCCCTGCATTACATCCAGTTCGCTTCCCTACAGTTCACAACCAAGGCCAAGCTGTGCATCCCAGGTGGGTTGAGTCAGAGCATCTCCTACAATCATCCTGTTGCCTTAAGTGGAAAAACTGCTAAAACTTTAAGCAGGACACTGGGACTCCGGTCCAGCCGTGGTGTCTGTTCTTCTTTCCAGGCTCTGATAGAAGCACTCACAAACACAAACAGCTAAAGGTCACCAGCAAGCAGTGGGAGAGTGAGTTTTGCCTGATCCATCTGTGCTGGGATAATCCAGAGTTGGCCGTGAATATGTTTAAGGGCCTACACGCTACAGCAGTAATTCTTTTTCACCTGCCATCCACAGCAGTCAAACGTGTTATTCTTGTACATTCTCCGGAGAAGAGTGTTAGGCATGTGTGTCTACAGATTGGGCACTCAATAAGTGAGACAGAAAAGCAAGCTTCAAATGTAAGTGTTTTTAATTCCCCGTTAAAACCTTGAGAAAATAAGCAAGCAAGTGCATGGATGTGGCCCGGGATGGAAACTATTTTCAAGACTGACTTGCTCACAGGATTTGCTGCAAAAAGCAGGTGAGAAAAATGTGTACTATTTGGGGGTGAGGTATGGCAGCAGAGGCTGGGCCCTTGGTTTTCAGGCAGAAGGTTTGGGAATCCAGTTGTGACCCAAAAACTACTTATGTGACCTTCAGCAGGCAGAAGCTTCATGCCGCTGGGTTGTTGCCCCATCTGTAATGTGAATGTTTTGGATGAGGCCAGCAACTTTCCATCTTTTTCTTAAAGCTACAGATCCTTTAAAAAAAATAAGGGCCCATAAGGGATCTCAAACTCCTTGCCTTTGGGAATCTTCAGTTTCTATCAAGGCCCTAGCATTAGAACAAGCTAGACCATAGTAACTCAGGAGAATAAAAAGGGAACATATGAGCTCTGCAATGGACTCATTGTGTGACCTTGGGCAAGTTCCTTCACCTGTCTTATCTTCCACTTCCACATACAGAAAATGGGAGTAATAGTATGGCAAAGCTATCTATGTGCTTAGATGGCACGCTACTCAATACATGTTAATATTATCATTGACACAATAGTTACGAGCATAGGAACACAGCCACACTACAGCGAAAGCATGTTTAACTCTGCCCAGACACTGACACATGGGATCAGCCAAGACCTAGAAGACATAAGCAGATTTTGGGTGCAGTGTCTGAAAGAGCTGCCATCAAGTCAACCTAGAAATTGCTCTTCATAACCCATAAGCCTCTGCTAGCATTTTTGACCCTATGATGCTGTTTTTTGTTTTGTTTTGTTTTTTGTTTGTTTTAAGTAGGCACATTGAAAATTCCAGCATCCCAGCATCTTGTCTTTTGTAATTAGGGTACTTTGGGGATGTAGCTTCTATGGGGAGTGCATCTTCACTCCCATCCTTCTTCGGTAGGAAAGGAGGATCATGTTAAACCTTGCTTTGGGTCCAAACTTTATAGAATCCTGTACATGCAGTAAAACAAATGGTTTCAGTTCCCCAAGCTGCACAGGAAATTGGGGAGTAGGAGCCTGTCCACATCCTCACCGTGGGGAGGGGTACAGAGTCAGCCACGCCATCTGTACAAACTGTGCAGAGTTCACCATGCTTACGGTTAGAAAGGCTTATGATTTATGCTTGCTAGTTAAATATGCTTATGATTTAAACTTATTTTCTCTGGCAAGAAATAAGCTAGTCAAGCACCGTCGCCTAGCCAGATGATGGGAAATAGAAATATATTGCAATGATATATATTTGAACTTGCTGAGCCTTGTAAAAGCTACTGTTTTCTTTTCTTCCTATAACAAAAGGCCTATCAGCCTGTAGGATTCCAGAAATTTTTTAGTGCATTCATTAGTGAAAGCACTTAAAAGTTTCTTTTGTTTTTTACTGTTTTCTTAACAGCAATCATCACATGGAAAGAATCACTTAGAAAGAAAAGGCATGCATGCATGGTCTTAGCCTCCCAAACACTGTATGGGAGGTGGGAAGGCAGAGCCTCTGCTAACAAAACAACCAACAGCAAGTTCCAAAAGCACCTCAGTATCCACTAGATGATAACATTAACAGAGCATGCCCAGCCACAAGAATCGGACTCCATTATAAGGAGGCAGTATGACATTTTAAAGTCTTCTGTGTTAAGTCCTGCCCCTCACAGATTTCGTTAAATCTGCTCTGTTAAAATTAACTGGGCATCACACTCATAATCTTGAATTGCTTGTTCCTACAGTAAGACAAGAAACCATAGAGATGAATGGTAGACACAAGAGTTTTCAGGTGTTTTGTTTGCAGCCAGAAAGGAAGAATCAATTCATGCTGTTTGGTTAGGTGGGACAAGGGAACCACATGGACACACTGTAGCACCCAAAGAGAAACAGAAGTAGTAGATGTAATGTACTTAAGCTATTCTGAATAAAAGGTTAAAAAAAGGAATTTGAATATGCAAAACGTTTTCCACGAGGCCAAGATGAGTCCTATGGCAACTGCATTCATTCCATAAACCAGAAACAAGGAGTCACATAGACTCTGCTACACACCGGGCATTGTAAAGGAGCGCATGCATGTTACAGTTGTTTGGTAGAGACTTGTGTTTTGCTAGAATGTTCAGGGTTATGACAACCACCAAACATACATTTGAGATACAGTTAAGATTAAGATAATGCAACTGCATGAGATTTTAAACCCAGAAGATGAAAAAGTATTGTTTTGTGACAAGAACCCAAATCCAGAGTAAGAATTAGTGGTGACAGATGAGCAAAGATCTCAAAATCAAGCCCCGAGAAACAGTAACTCTTGAGCGACACTCTAAATTTTTTTCTTGAAAAAAAGGAATATAATAAATTCATAGCAATAGAGCCCCAGAAGCAAAAACAGCCAAGACTCTGATATGAATAAACATTTGCACCAAACATATAAATCATTACATTTCGGAATGAGAAGAACATAGGCTCGACTTACCTTATTGCTGCAAAAGGCTGGAATAAAAATTACTGGCTTATAGGAGCAACTTTCACATGTATTTGAACATCAAACACACAGAGATATAAAATCAAAAATAACTAGAACAGAAAAAGTTTTCAGTCTGACCTTAAAAATACTGAGCAAATCACTAGATGAGACCAGATCAAAAGGAAGGGCATTACGCCAGCTTGTAGCCAGATGTGAAGGGGTCCCAGACTACACAGGGCACAGATGGTATAAAGTGGGGTAGTGGAGGAGGGGGGAGGGGTGCAAGTACATCTGAAACATGAGGCAAGCAAACCTGGTTTGGCTTACACAGGTAAGACAGCTTGAAAGAATGAATTACTTTCAAGCCAACTGATAAGATTTTAAACGTGGGACAAATGTTGCTAGATGCCTCCAGCTGAAGTGTGTGCAATGAGTTTAAATTTTAAATTCTCTTGTGTACTAATCCAGTGGGAAGAGATGCTCCCAGAGGGTACATGCAAGGTCATGGTGACTTAGGGTTAGTGAATACCAAGGAGTCAGCATCAACAGGGTTTAAAAACACATACAGTGGCTGAAAGTCCGATTGCCTGGCTATAGTCTGAGAAATTTAATATTTGCTCCCAAAACATCTCCACTTGAGAATAGAATGTTACATGTGTATTAATATATTCAAAGTCTTCAATAGTTTTCATTAATTCTATAGTGATAAAACTACACTCTGCTTTCCCTTTTTCCACTTTTAGTAAAAACTGCCTCTTTACATGTAACAATAGATACATTAATTACCCACCGGAAACCTTGAAGCTTGTTTTCAGGATCATTTTTGTAACACAAAAGTTGCCAGTTTAACGAATACAAAATAAAACACTTCTTCCCAAACAGAAGTTCAAGAAAAAAAAATCACACCTCAATGTTCAAAGTTATAACTGGAAATTTGTTTCATCAGATGAATAAGTCAACAGTTTGTTGTTGTTGTGGCAGCAACCAAAACAGTAACATGTAACACACATTCCTGCAAACCCATGATTTCAGAAGGACACAGAGCATAGAATATCCAAAGGCCAGCTTATTGGATATTCTAATAAGCACATCTGACACACACAGATACAATGAGACTAGCAATTTCAGTAGCAATGATGGACGAAGAAGTATTGACTTCATGGTGACCTCTGCTTCCCATCCACATGCTTTGGGGAGTGCCTGTTTGATTCTTTTTAACACTTGTATTAAAGACTCCCTCCAGTTTAGTAACAGCTTGGCTAAGCTACGTTTGGAAAGTGACAATTAATTTTAGTGGAAACTCATTCCCTGGCTACTTTGATAGTCCTCCGAACAGTTTTGCGGTATTTTACATGCACTTTTATAGCTCTGTAACATTCATTTAATCTTGTTCAATGATGCTGAACCCCAGACGCCATAAGACATTATAGAAAAGTAGTTACTGCACATATGGAGTAGCTACTCTTTTCTGAACATTAATTTTTCTTCTCTTAACAGGCCAGAATGTTATTTAGAAAAGAGAAAAGCCGTGTTTCTGAATTAAAGGTTTATACTATGGACTTCTAGGAATGGGCTACTTATGATTGCTGTGGTCCTAGTCACAAGCGTCTTATGTATGAGTATCTTCTATATAAGTAGTAATGATTTTCTCCAAGATTGTTGTTTACCCTATCAGGGTGTCTGGGATAGCTTAGGTTCCTCACCCGTCACATGTAGAGGTTGGACATAATCAGAGGTTCTCAAAGTGGGTCTACAGATCTGCATGGTGCTAGCTCAAAACGCAGATGCCCAAAGCTCCAGGGCGCAGCTGGGGAACGTGCTTGATAAGCTAGCACCGCAGTGGTCCTTTTGTGTGCTAATCAGACAGACACACTGCTGAATGATCTCGAAGGTCCCTTCCACTCTCAGATTCCATGGCTTTGCGTTTTCTTTTAAATCTCGAGTCCTGTCAGCACCATGAAGAATAATGACTTTTGGTCTCAGCAGACTAACTAAATGTAAGAAGTCTTCATAAAAACCAAATCAAAACATAACAAAAATACCCAGAAAAGCTAACCTATGGTAGTCTACTTAGATGGTTAAGGAATCCGTTCGGGTTTTTTCCTTGAGGGGTGAAAGGGAACCCATCTTACTGCCCTAGCAGCTCATTTCCCAAGGGATTTTTCTATTCATTCCCCTTTCCCCCTTTGACTCTAACGCTTCCTGGCTCTTGAGATACCATCCAGGCTTTGCACAGCCCTGAGTCACCAAACTCTTAAGAGTAAGTTGAGGTTATCTCCATATTAAGAAATAAACAACATACAGAGGGTCCTCTACTTTCATGTAATCCAGGGAAGGGGAAGGACAGATTTGCATTCCTCAAAGAATTCTGTAATTACCTAAAAAGAAAGAAATCCTAATAGTTTGTCATCATTAGCCATGCTAATCAAATATTGATAAAAACACTCCCTGTATCTTACGTTAATTTTTTCTCTTCTTAACTACCCAAAAGGCCAAGGAGAGGCTAGGAGCTGAGGTTTTTAAAAGCGTTGTCTGGAGCATTCTGTCTGTGATTCGTTTTTATTAGGCGTATGAGAATTAAATGCTTATCGCTAAATGTGATTTGTATGTAAAGAAAGTTTTGTAATGTCCTTACAGCAGCATGCGGCAAGATCTTAAAATAATCTCACACACACAGCAAGGCTCATTCCGCCTCTGGTCCAGAACCGTGAGCTGGAAGGCAGCGCCACCATGTGATCATTGTGAATGCTGCCAGCTTTCACAAGTAGCAAAGTTGGGGAGGGGAGTATCTGACAGCAGAGATCCACTTCCTGTCACACTACAATGGTGTCTAGACCACAAATCTAAAGCCATTCAGTCAGCGGACTGAGTGGGAATAAATAAGCAGCTGTTGACATGGGAATGTCTGAGTATATGTTGTCACTATAGTCAGAGAATCAACTGATCAGGGTGACTTGTTGGGGAGGATAGGCTGACAGACACTATTGTCTTCTCTACGTGGAAACCTATGTAGATTATAGATCACAGACTTCAGTGCCCAGCTCTCCTGATTGCTAGCTCTCCATCCTTCAAACTGGGTTAAGTTCAGTCAAGGCTCAGCTACTATATTGTACATCGTGTCCAATGGATGCAATGACATCTGAAGTTCCTTCTGATAGTGAAGTTTACGGCTGTATGTACAGTGTAGCAAAGGAGGGCCTAGAGAACTTAATCTCATGGTTTCTCAGAGTCTTTCTTTCCTTCTCATGTTTGTTCTCTGCCATGGGAACCCTGAATTAGACGGCAGCATTGCAGGTTTGCTGGACCAATTCAGAAACAGGAGATAGATGAGGCAAAAGCAAGTCTTAAGCACACTCAGAAACTGTTTACGGGTCACAAGGATGCTTCAGGGACATGTGTTTCATGGTTACTATGTGTCCTGATTCGGCCGGTGCATCTTTCCCAATGTAAGCAAAAGCCTGTAATATGGCAATCTAGGGGATAACAGGATGGAGAAAACAGGCCAGTTAACCAGATTTCCTGGCTATGCCTCACACACTGAAGGCTTACTGGATAAGGAAGCAAGCCCCTTGGCTTCTGTGTGGCTCTTTGCACAGCAGACAGGGCTGTACCTGCAGGACTCTGTTAAAGGACCAAGAATTTACTGGAATGACACTTGCCCCAGCAGTGGCCTATGTGGCTGAACTGCTCTGACACCAAGTCACATTTCCCCAGACGTTGCCTCAATCTCCCCAGAGCATCAAGTTCTTTAAGGAGGCAATGAAAGGCTTTAAACTGCTGAAGTCAGCTTAGGTCTCACAAGTCAATTATGACTAAATATTCAATTAAAACCATTTCCAAAGCAAAATTTGACAAAATCCACTCAAAGCAATCCAGATGACAGGTTCTGAACATTAGTCAGGCTAAATACTGCTCATGTTTAGTGTTTTCCAAAGAGAAACTGTTGCAGAAGTTCACTGGGATGAAAATTTACTTTGTGTGCTTGTCATGTTTTATATTCATAAACAATAGAAACTCGAAAGCATTAACGTGAGCCTAATATTCCTATTTATTATTTTATTTTATTTTATTATTTTTTACTCAAAAGCTACATACATGCAAAAATTGAACATGTCATCACAAATGCTTTAAATAAAGTTCAAAAATAAAAATTCCTCAAAATTTGTTTACTTATGGAAATATATATGACAATTATAATAAGGAAGTCAATTATATCCTTTTTGCTAATCTATCAGAAAAATACTTATATTATAAAAAGGAATATCAATTCTTGTTCAGAATAAGTTTTAAATTCTTGAGTTATACTTTTCAAAACAAATTTAGAAACTGTTCAGAGAAGAACATGTCATTTAGACAAACACATCCTGGGATTTTTCTAGAAGTATCCAATCCCCTGATGAGTGAAACTGTTGAGGGACTTAAGTTCAGAGAAGAAGTTCCTCCTAATCATTGACAGATAATTATTTTGGCTGAGTGTTTAGCAGTGCAAGTGGAGGCCACAACTTATACAAACAGATGCTACTGAGAGCCATTTAAAGTATCTGAATGGGGAATTTTATTTATAAATACATGTGGGAGGATTAGAGCAGTCCCATCTCTCCACTGGCCGACAGTGCAAGGGGAATTAAATATTCGCCCTTTTGAGAAATATAGAAGCTTCACTGGTCCCATGGCTCTATACCCAAGCCAAGAGGAGGGAGGCCCTTTCACAGGGAAAATAACCAGGAAATGGGCAAAGTTGAGAGGGAGACAGGAGCATTTGGGAGGAGTTGCAATACTCTGAAAGGTTTTCTTCTACTATAACCAATGTTTCTTTGGTAGTATAATCCAATATCTAATAACACAGTTATAGGAACGAGATGCACTCAAGCTCAACTGTGTGAGCTCCCTGGTGCTTCCTGCAACAGTGTGCTAATGCAGAGAAAAGACAACCTCCCCAGGAGAGCCATCCATCTTCAGAAAGGACATATGACAGGGCTGGCAAAAGGGAGGGTGACTTAACACAGGGGTAGAATTGCCGTGGAAAGTGGGCAACACTGTGGGAACTGAGGAAGAAGCCCATTCCACACAGGTAGTGAACATGGCCTCCTCTGCAAATCAGAAATAGCAGATTTCCTCTCTGAACAAATCATGGGCTTCTGCTGAAAGGCCAGAGTGGGATACTGGTTAGAAATACTTGCACAGTGGGCCCCCAAATCCTAGAGTTTGATTTTGAGCCTGACACTCAATTGTGATTAAAGTTTTCATGCTAGGCAAACCAACAATTTCTTTTCCTTATACTGCTTTTTAAAAAGGTCTTAAGATGTGTGTGCTGTCAATGGGTATGGTTTCTATGGAGCACATACACACAAGAAACAATGCCCAGCTCACAGTATGCAGGCAAGTGTCACAACAATTTATCAGAAAGGGGGTTTGGCTAGGCTAGGCTTCCTCCTGGTGCTTTGTGGCTTCACAGGCAGCCCCGTGGCAGGTGTTCCTTAACAAGGTACTGTGGAGCTACTGAAGGGGAAACCCAGTTCTTATGCCTCGATGAAAGGGTGTGCAGAAAACAATAATTACCCCGAATAAGGAATCTTATGGGGAGGGGGAAGAGTGCAAAGAACAGAGAATTTAGAAAACTAAAAAACAAAAACAAAAAACAACCCAAGTGATATGATGGCAGAAACCCACACGCTCTCCCACAACCCCACCTGCCACTTGGAGTCCTAACCACCCAGTCTGTAGGGACAGAAACCCACTCTAAATGGACCAGCATCAGGCTTCGGCAAGTCTTCTCTTCACTCCCTCCTGTTAAGACCGTTTCCAAAACCAATCAGCAAAGGATAAAGAATTCTTTACAGAGTGCAATTAGTGTTTTCCACGTCCACCTTCAAAAGCATGATGCTCTTCATGGGCTAAAGGACAGAAAAAAAACAAAAAGGAAAAGAAGGAAAGAAAACTTTAAGCAAAGGATGGGCCAACCCCCCTCTAGGCATCTCATTCAGCTTCCCCAGATGTTGGCAAGAACTCAAATACCTTTTTTTTACTTTTTTTTTTTTTGCCAGTAACTGATAGCTAAGGCGTGCATTTCCTGAGAAACGTAATAATGAAAATTAAAACAAGGAATAAACAAGCTATGGGCATGCTGCCTGCTTCTTCTTGCTGTGCCTCGGGGGGGATGACTCATCCACACAAGTTGATGAGGAGAGGATGTTGGGCTCTAGGCAAATGCTACAGGGAAAAAAAACGAGCCCCACAAAAATGCATGGGAAGGGGGGAACCTATGACCTAGGACAGAGTCATTCGCAAGCCTACCTTCAAGAATAAAATAACAGAAACAAAACAGAACCACACAGGGGGGCGTATTATTATGCCCCCTGCTTCTCAACACCTTCTGTGGAAAATGAAGTTTCATAAAACGGATGGTTCTATTATTTTCCCCAACCTTCACCCCACACACCTCAGGGGTCTCATAGTTTGTCTTGTGGAATTACTAAATAGGAAACTAACAATAAAAGCTATGCTTTTTGGAGACTTAAACTGTCTAAGCTGGAAGACAAGAAGCATGCAATATTAGCTGTAAAGCAAAGGGCCAAGTTCGGGTTGGGGTGTCTAGATGCCACTGTGAGGCAAGGTCTAACACAGCCAGGGCTATTCGGCCCAAGTCCACTCACTCCTCCAGACAATAATGGGAGGCAGAGCTGAGCACTCTGCTTCACTTCCATATCTCCTCCTGTTCTTGAGAGGACGGCTGGGTTAACTGCCTTCAAGATCATCTCAGGTAAGCTATCCAAGCAGCAATTCATCTAGAGAAACCACTGGGAAAGATGCACCTTGTCACTCCCAGGGTGACTAGAATTGGTGACCTAGTATCTGCCCACGTTTAACTGCATATCTCTCACCCCTTCAATTTCCTAAGTATTTAATTTTAAAACATTTTCTTTATTTGGCTATGTTTGTGTGTGTTATGTACACGTGTTATGCTGTGTGTGGTGTGGTATGTGTACATGCTGTATGTGCCCCTGATTGTATTGGTGCACGTACTTATGCCTCATGTCTGGAGGTTGAGGAAGGACACTGGGTGTCCTGCTTTGTCACCCCTGACATATTCCTTTGAGATAGGCTTTCTCACTGAACTTAGAACAGGCTTAGGGCCAGAAAGCATTGGTGAGCCTCCTGTCTCTGCCTGTACAATGCTGGAGTTACAGTGTGTATGGAAATGCCCAGCTTTTCATAAAGATGCTGGGATGTGAACTCAGGTCATCAGGCTTACATAGCAAGTGTTGTTACCAACTGAGCCTTCTCTCCAGCCCTAGCTATTTTCTTTAGCAATTGATTTTTAAATTATACATACTTCTGTGGCGGTATGTACATGCGTGTGGGTGCCTGTAGAGTCCAGAACTGGGAGTCATATCCTCTAGACCTGGAGTTTCAGACAGTTGTAAACCACCTGTCATGGTGCTGGGAACTGAACTCAGGTCATTTGCAAGAACACTGTATAATCCTGACTGCTGAGCCATCTCCTCAGGCCCTAGTCCAAGCCATTTTTAAATGTGAGTTTTGGGGACTGAACTCAGGTCCCCTTGCAGAGCTAGCTCCCTAACCCTAATTCCTATCTTTAATAAGGATGTTGTAGGGCAGACTCCAAATAAAGCATAGATCGGTATTCAGTGGCATATACCATGTTTCAGGGCCAATTTGGTGAGTCATAAAATGACAGCAATGCTGATATGCAAATTATCCATCCAAAGGCAATGATGATGCCAAGACTTTCCTCATCTCTAGGTGTTCAGGGTCAGGACAGCAACAGCTGAACCACTGAAGTGTCAGGTCAGAAGTTAACAGCAGATACACTGCACTACTGTGAGAATCTGGGCACTGAGGGCCATTTGCCATCCCTGGAGCAACTGGGGAGATGATTAGAGGACTTTTCAGATCTGGAAGACATCAGACTTTTTAGTAGTAATTCACACAATCCCTGATTGCTGAAGAAGCTACAGAAAATAGGGATATAAATGAGTGCTTCTTTATGCAACCAAGCTACTGAAACTTGGTATGGCAGAATTTTCATGTGTCACATACAGTTTTGCCTTTTCCCAATCATATGAAAATGTAGGACTGCTCTCTGCTTCATTCACATGGAATGACTGAGGGAGGGGGGTGGGGTAAGAGGCTGGCTTAGCTTCAGTTCCTAGCTTTCCAATCCCTGTTCTACACAGTGCTAACACCAGATAAGGGCCTTTGTCTTTCAGCTTCCCAAGGAACTTGATGGAACCAGGGAGGTGTGTGTAAATTCAATCTTGGATGGAAATCACATAGAGCACCAATGTCCAGTTCCTCATCTGCCCACTGGAGGCCAGGACTGGGTGTACTGGATACTTCTGGCATTCCAGTCATCTAGCCAGCTAGTTTCTACAAACTCCAGAGTACTGGATCCCATTAAGACAAAGGTGGCATGAACTGGCCACTTCCAGCCTAGCTCACCCAGGACTGTCCCTCACCCTGCGAACCAGTTTCTGTCTAGATCACTTCTATAACACATGCTGGCAACAGTGCCAGGTAAAGGACAGCCTGATTCATGTCAAATACAGGGAATTCCAATTTTTCCATTGCATACTCTGAGCTTTTAAATGTTAAAGAGTGTCACTAAAGAGAAGCTTTCTGCTTAGAGCTGCAGCTAGTTCCTTCTGACTCACACACGTGACAATGTCAACTCCCTTCAGGGTGTCTCCAGTTTTCATTCAGCTGGCCTGGGTGCCCCTTCCTTTCTCCTTTCTTGGTGTCCCCCCATCCTGATCCCTCCTGACTTCGCCTCCTGCAAGCCAACCCGACAGCTAAGCAATGAATCCCCTACCCTTCCTTGGCCATTCTTATGTGACTATGCCTTGGCCCTAAAGCTGGAGCCTAGTTACCTAAGTCTAGACTGACTTCATGCTGAGCTGCTGACCAGTTTGTCACTTGTCAATCTGTTCACAGAACTGTAAAGAAGAAGGAACCTTGGAGATCATCTGAGACCAACCTTCTGGATACAGGTGAGAGAGTGAAACTGCTAAGGGTCACACTGGTGAAGTGTGGTGAACACCCAATAACTCTCAACCGCTTTCTCCTCCTTGGAGTCAAGTGTTGGGCAGACTCAAGTGTGGGACCCTTGAACTTGGCACTAACTCACATTTCCTTTTGTAGTTTTTGCTAGTTATTCTTATTACTGGAAATCAGAAAACACTTTGGAGACCTTTTGATATCTGGGTAAACTACAGTTGACATGTCCCTGTGGGACATTAATGGTATCCGTGTGCCTGCCCTGTCTCCATACTGCACAGCCAAGCTCTTCAGTGTGCATTTTCAGGCTATTTCACTTTAAACTTTCTATTACAATTCAGAGGATCGGCACCCTAAGAGCACAGACTGCAGGATCCCTTTCCCCACGTGGACCCTGATTCTTTGATGATGGCTACAAGATTCCTCCAAGGAGGCCTGAGTTTTCCTATATGCACTAATACAAGGGCAATCACAAATGTGAATTTGTTCAGCCTCTTGACAAGAACCAGAACTAGTGAGACAATGATGGAGCATATTTCAGAGATCCTAAGATGCCCCCTGCTCTGTCCCCTGCAAATTTCAAAACCTCTAGAGTCAACAAGACATCCTGGTTTAACTGAAAAACTTTTCTTACTTTTTCTTCCTTTAAATACTGAGATATTAGGGTATTCTATGTCCAAGAGCACCAAAATGATGAGTGACTCCCTGAACGGGTTAGGACATAGAAAGTCCATCATGAATGTGTGTGGGGCTGTCAATCATTTCCTTTAACTCACTATTGAACTGAATGTGTAACCCACCAGTTCAAAGGTACTAAGATGTTCTCATTATGAAAAAGATGACTGGTTTATAGAGAGCACACAAGAGCAACAAACACAAATCACAATGGAAACAATGGGTCCACACACCTGTTCACACCAAGAGTTGTATGTCCACTGCATGTAAATTCTCAGTGACTCTGCCACAGTCACCATAATGAGAAAGTGGGAGTATTTCAGTAGCACTGTCAATCATACCTGAACTCCCCCATAAGTACAGATATTAGACGTTATACATTTCTGTGTAGGAAGGGTTGATTGACCATCTGCCTGGCAGCCCACTGACTGATTTTGTGTGTTTGTGTGTGTGTGTGTTTGTTTGTTATAATTATTTCCGATAGAAAATAATTTCTTCTGACAAAGTTTAAATTTGTGAAATAACAAATACAATGTGTATTTGCTTTTCGGATCCATGTACTTAGGCAAGAGCAAAATTTCATTTTAATTTCTGAAACTAAACTTGATTTAAAACCACTTAAAATGTATCGTGTCCAATTGTTTTCTGCATTGGTAGAGTTTCGGGCAATTCTTCCTTCACCTCATTTGCAATGTGGTGCTATCTCTACAAGTCTGGTAGAAGAACCTCGAAAACAGTGATTGGAAATGAAGCACTTACGTTTATAAAACACGGCTTTAAAAAACACGTGAGGCAGGAGTTCATGGATCTTCTCTAGCACAGTAGCTTCGCCCACAAGGGAAGCGTCGACATTCCAGACCTGGATGACGTCCTCTCGGTCCCGAACACTCACACTCACCCCTATTACTTCGTCATCTGAAGGGAACAGGAGGAAGAGGCAAGAATGAGTAAGCTACAAGGCAGCCTGGCCACATCTAAGCACCTATCACTTTAGCTGTGAGTTACACAGCAGATAGGGATAAGCGCCTGCTGACTGCTTCCGTGGGGACTGTTGTGGAAAGTCGGCACAGACGCCTTCACTTTGAGCCGGGGACTCGATAAACAGAATGTTCAAGCCAAATGAATTTTCCAGATAAGTAATTTTACCCTTTTTAACATGTTACCCAAAGCTTTCTGTCAATTTCTGACTCTGTTTTGATGAGACTTTTTCTAAAATAGGTTGCATAATTCTCTGCCCTCTGAAAGCCAAGTGAACTCGGATGAACTTTTTTCTTTTTTGCTTGAAGCCTGGCCCTCTCTATTAAGAGCAGTAAGACTTTCTGTGACTTCCTGCTAAGCTTTTGGAGGCCTTGGGGATGTTAGTGCCATCTGCTCTGAAACCTGCAGGACCCAAGACTTGGTATGTCCAGTGGTCCCTCTGCTTTGCACGGGGGGGGGCTGTCTGCACATTTCCTATGCACTCTGCCCTTTGGTGCTTCCTTCTAGCAATCACCCCCGACTGGGTTGAAACATGGGTTACAGAGCTGAAAGTCACCAGTTAGCACTACAAGGTAAAGTCAGAGTGCCTCCTGAGTGACACTCCACCATGAATGGTCAACAGGCACCAACCTACACTGATTACTGTAGACTTTCTCCAACATGGGGGTGGCAGGGAGACACTCGAGCATGGCAGCTGGACGATGGGCCTATTGTACCATTATGGTCCCATGCAGTCACTCTGTCCACACTGATTGGCAGCAAAATAAGAGGAGTGGAGGCTTTTGACTCCAAGTTTTGCATGTTCACGACACATTCATGAAGCAGAGTCATTTCTCTGTACTTGCATACAACATGCAAGAGAAAGGCATTACTGTACTTAGGTAGTTTTATGTTAGCTGATACATGCTGCTAATTTGCCATCCCCTGTAAGTTGAAATGTTCAAGCCGTCGATTTTTCTACTTGTCTCCTGGACATTTGAACATGATGGTATTTAACATGATTACATGGTGGCACACCCAGTCTCCCCAAAGAAACCATTTTCCTGTGAAATAATTCCCCCTTCTCTATTTCCCTCTTCCCTTTCTTCCTCTCTTCCTGTTTTCCTTTATGAAATAACTTGATCATGGCTATAGGTACATGGTCTGAAACCTTGTGAACATGTATGTAAGTGTTCAAAACTGGTAAAATGAAACTATAGTGCTCAAAGTTGCACTGACAGCATCCAAGGCTGGTGAGCAAGAAGGCATTAATGCCCTGCTTCTTAATTTATAAACTCACTAAAGGGCATGCTCACTTTGTGACTTGTTGCCAGGCTCCACAACTATAATGTTGGGATTTTTCTGCACATGCACCGCATTCAAACACAAGTTAAAACAACAGCAAGACTGCATCTGCTCACGGTCAACCTCAGAATCTCTCATGTCAGGAAAAGTACATGTTGGTGGATTTAAAACAATATAGTTGTCATAACTCAATGATAAATTTCATGTAAAAATAAAATTACTGCACAAAGAAAGACATGGTCCAGCATTTCACCCTCAAGAAGAGACAGGACACTATGAACCCAGAAGTGTTGTGGGAAGATGTGAGTGTCCCCGATCCTTTGGGATTATCCTTTCCTACATTTCTGGTAGTGGGTAAGATGCCAAACAGGACAGTGGTCACTGTTTCAGTTTGGCTTGGCTTTTGGCAGACAGGAATAGCTGAGCACAGCCCTTTTGCAAACAGTGTTATAAGGAGCCCACAGCTCTTAGGAGAAGGCAGGTCCATGGTGAAATACATAAAGATCACATGGAGAATCAGCCAGCGACACCTGGACTATGGCAGAGCAGGAGACAGTTGGGCCAGGAGGAGCTATTGTTTAAAGATGTTCTCTAAGTGAAATGGAGAAAAATTAGCTCTCTCAAGTGACAGAGTTAGTTAATAGACGTGCTGAAGGTTAATAGTTAATAGTATCTTCCCTTCTGGTCAGGCACAGAAGAATTGGCCTTCTTTGCTCACTATTGGGTATTTGCAATTACTCATCGACGGTTCCGGGACTTCTGGGTTTACAGCTACACACAGTGTGCACTTTGGGCTGGGCAGTATAAAGTGGTTAGATTTTCTCCACTGGAACAGAAGAAACCGGCACCGTATAACCATTTCATCTTCACACACATGTTGTCCGAAGTGAGGAAAAGTGGCATGAAAGGCAGTACTGAATGGCAGAATGGCTGAGCACCCCTCCTCCCCCCTCCTCCCCCCGCCAAGGTGAATGTGGTCATACAACTGTCAAGGTGACAAGAGCTCTCAGAGACAGCCTGAATGTGGGTGCCAACTGATCCATGACAACACACACACACACACACACACACACAGACACAGACACACACACACACACACACACACACACACACACACACACACACACACACACACACACACACACACCAAAAGAGCAAATAAAACTCAGAGCCAAAAGCAGCATGGAAGAAAATTTAAAAATAAAACAACAACAAACCCCCAAATCAATAGCAACAAAAACAAAACAAGAAAAATAAACAAAGCCCCACAAACCTTTACTTTAAATGCATCCTCAGAAGTTTTGGAGAGGAGTGCCCCAAGAGGAAAAGAGATCCCGATACAAGCAGTGAACCCTCTCCGAATGGTGAAGTACAATGGCTCACAGAGGGGAGGAGCGGCAGAGCTCAGGGCTAGATGCATAAGGTCTAGGATTCCAGCCCTAACACACACACACACACACACACACACACACACACACGCACGCACGCACGCACGCACGCACGCACGCACGCACGCACGCACGCACACTCACTGCTCTCAGAGGGGCTCTCTGAAAGTCACTCAGCATGTCAAATCCTTCTCCAAAGGCAAGTCCCTGAAGCTTCTGTTTCATCCTTAGCTGAGAGATTGTGGGCAGGAACAGTGAGACATCTTAGCCTCCCAGTGTCCGCCTCTCTGAACGAAGCCAGGAGAACAAGGGGAAGGTGTAGGAGTGAACCCCACAAAGCTACCCGCCCAACAGGGCGGGGTCAAGGTAGAGATAAAAGGTAGTGAAAGGAAAAGGGGCTCCCTCTTTTTCTCCTGGAAGCCAGCCACGCTTCTAACTCCTGGTATGTGCGACTCTCTCTCTCCCTGATAAATAAATATATTGTTTTTCCCTATATAGCCTCGATTATCGCTTATACCTGGTGTCAGAAGTGGGATTCGAACCCACGCCTCCATTCGGAGACCAGAGGAAGGGAATAAGCTGAGAGAGAAGAAAGGGATTGTCCCTATCCACCCACAGATCCCATAGGCATGGCAGACACTTCCCCCTCCAGGAGACGAGGCAGCCACAGGAGACCTACTACAAATCATACTGGCCTACTGATGAAGACTTTTCTTTCTGCCTATTTATAATGGATGAATGGCTATAACTGTCATAAAATATATATGCCTACATTATTTCACACATATATACACATATATATTCACATGTGTTTTTATAGATGCAATGTATATCCAGCCCTTGGAATTTATTAAGGGTAAGTTCTAGATCCCCTCCATACCATGGATGCTTAAGTCCCTTATGTAAAAGGTAATTTGCACATACTATTTATTTATGTATTTACTCTGCACATACTATTTATTTAGGTATTTTTGCACACCAGGTAAGTATTCTACCACAGAGCTATACTGCCAGGCCAAACTAATTTTCAGTCATCTCTTTTTTACTTGCAACTTGCAAATACTGTGCAAGTTGTTTGCATTGTATTATTTCTTTTCTTTCTTTCTTTCTTTTTTTTTTTTTTTTTGGTTTTTTTACGAGACAGGGTTTCTCTGTATTGTTTTGGAGGCTATCAGTCCAGCCTGGCCTCAAACTCACAGAGATCCGCCTGCCTCTGCCTCCCAAGTGCTGGGATTAAAGGCGTGCGCCACCACCACCCGGCACATTGTATTATTTCTTGAATAACATGGGGAAATGTATGTATTATTTTGTTCAGACATTGTTCATGCATTCTACTATTTTTGATCTGTGAATCCATGGATGCAAGATCTGAGGATAGCAAGGGCTGACTGTACATCCATGTGAATATACAATGTGCTTAAATACATAAAGCTCACACCAAGCACCATCCACAAAACAAGTCTAAATGACATCACAGCTACAAAATGAACGCCTTGCAGGCAGGTACAAAGATTAACACATGAAGTCAAAGGTCTATGAGTAGCAAACAGGAACCACGCATACCAGGGTGTGGGTAACTGGGTTGTGGCCTCCCTACCTGCGGCCACAGAGTCTGTGAACTGCTCCCCAATGGTTGCTAACAACAACTCTTTCCAAACTGTGGACTGCAGTAGGAGAGAATAAAAATAAAAACAAGACAATGTTTAGGCAGTTATCATCAGGGGCTAAAAAGAAACACAAGCTCCTCACCCACAGCTGGAACCTACAGACACCCCCAAATTACAGAAGCAAACATGTGCAGTCATGCAGGTATGTATTAGAGAGCTTGCTGCTGACTGCCTACCCAAATAACAAGCGATCCAGGGCCTTGAGTGCTAGTGAAGCCCCACGAACTCCAGAAGAACTGGGGTAGGGAGCACACCACCTTCAACTCACCTCACTGTCTGATGTCTTTAACTCTTACTGATTGACAGTGTACCAACCCAGTACATTTGAGTGCTGTTAGCACAATCCTTGTTTCTCTCTCGCAGCTGATGGAGCACTTAAAATGTTACCACTTAAGATGTTACTCAAGTCAAGAACGTTAATAAACAGTGTTATTTACTGAATGCTAGAGACCTGTAAAATTCCATTCACTGCTGACAGGTTGTTTGCAGGGAGTGATAAATTTATGTACTATTGTACACACACAATTTCTCTGGAAGTAATGATTAGCCTGCATGCCACTCTGCCTCCTGCCAGTGAGAAGCCCCAGCGCTCCTTCTATGGGGCATGTACTAACGCTGTCAAGTAGACAGAACCCACTCACAGGACATCGGAGTCACAACGGCTCTCCAGGTTCTCCCTGGAAAAGATCTAGGCTCCCCCTTGCCATGGTTCCTAGGCCTCCCAGAGCTCAGTCTAAATGGAGAAGTTGCCCACTTTAGTCTTTGTGACCTGGGCAGGCCATCAGCTTCTCTAGCTCCTATCTTGGAGGGGGTAACAACAGAACTGACCTCATAGGGTTGTTGCAAGTAAAACCTGTGTCAGTAGCTGCAACAAGAGAGCTCAAGCTTTAAGACGGCACCATAAACAGCGGCATGCATCATGTGCCAGGCTCTCGGTGCACATGAACTGTGACAGTGCTTATTACTGCTTTCTAATGAGCTTGTGGCAGCTGCTTATCTTTCAATCAAGGCAGCAGCATTTACGGAGCAGCTGAAGGTGAACCCTTACTCCTAGAAAGGCTTACATCTTCTTTCCTAGACCTTCCCTTCTCCCATCTGTCCAGCTTTGATCTTGAGCTCCATAGGTGATGAAGTTGGGGTGGGAGAGGAGAGCAAGGCAAGGGGGCCTTCATGCTTCTGTTTTGAACACAGGTATCTCTAGCCTTCCAGACTTCTAGTGGGGGGCTGAGACATAAGAGCCCAGACACTTGTCCAGACAATAAAGTGCAATGGTGCCTAAGTTCAGCCGAGTGAGCTGACAAGGCGGGACGGGGAATTCTATGGGTGTAGGCATCATGATGACTTCCACTAGAGTTCCAAGTCTAGGGTGATTCCTAGTCTAATTCCAAATAAGGCACACGGATGTGCAAGGTCCCAGGGTGGCTCCCATCACTTCAAAAGTAAGCAAGCAAATACGTGTAGTAACACATATGAAAGGGGGGAACACGCTTGGTGAAAGTGAAGAAAATCTAAGAGCATCTTGCTCTTTCCTATTTGCTGCTTGCTCTCAGTAGGGCAAAGGGGTTCATACATCTTCCCGTTTAGCTGTGTATTTGTGTGTGCATGTGCATGGCAGTGTGTATGCGTGATCACGCAGGGGTATGTGGTAGCCAGATGTTGATTTCTGGTGTCTTCTTCGATCATATTTTTTGAGAGACAGGATCTTTTCTTTTTTCTTTTTTGGTTTTTCAAGATGGGATTTCTCTGTATAACAGCCCTGGGTGTGCTACTCGATTTGTAGACTAGACTGACCTTGGATTTAAGAGATCCATCTGCCTCTGCCACCGCCCGGCTGGGTGAGGATCTTTTCATTGAACTGGGGCTCACTGTCTTGCCTAGCCTGGCTGGCTGGAAAGTCCCAAGGATCCTCCTGTTTCTCCCTACCCGGGCTTGGTAACAGGTGTTCACAGACACACCAGCTTTTTCATATGGGGCCTGGGGATTGGAACCCAGGTCCCTATGCTTCCAAGCCAAGCACTTTACCAACTGAGCCATCTCCCCTGGGCCCTATTTTTATTTTTAACACAGGGTCTCACTGAATAGCATAGGTAAGACTTGAAGTCATGATTCTCTTGCCTCTATTTTCAGCCTCTGGGATCACAGGGATGCCTTTCCATGCCCAGATAATTTTGTCTATTTTCAAAAGAGTTTTGTGTTTCCCCAGGGCTTAATGAATGTTAACTTTTAAGGCTTACACTCATGTTCCAGTGGTAAGTCCACTGCTGGGGAGTCTAGACTGCTGAAGTTTACTCAGCTCCATGAACCCCAATGAATGAGGAACCCTCTAAGATTCCCCATTTACCATGTCATGGTTCTTCTGGAGGTGCTTCTGTCTTTAAGCAGGAGAACAGAGCCTTTGGTGGGAAGGACCCTGATCTGTGGAAGATCGGTATGCATATGTCAGGCATATCTGATGAGGAAACAGCTACCATGATCTTTAGCTTTGCTCTAAAGTTTATAGGCTCTAGACCTCCATGGTTACATAACACATGGATGTTATTGTGTAATTTCTCCTTTCTTTCCTCTCTCTCTCTCTCTCTCTCTCTCTCTCTCTCTCTCTCTTTCTCTCTCTCTCTCTCCCTCTCCCTCCCTCCCTCCCTCCCTCCCTCCCTTCCTCCCCCCTCTCTGTTTAGCCCTGGCTGTCCTGGAACTTGCATCCCAGGTTTGCTTATGAGACCGTTTCTTCCTCATTTCTTGATTGGCCAGGGATGGATAACTGATCCATGGTGAGCCCTAGATTTTTTTCAAGACAGGGTTTCTTCTGTGCAGCTTTGTAGGCAAGGCTAGCCTAGAATTCAAAGATCCATCTGCCTCTGCCTCCTGAGTACTGGGATTAAAGGTGTACGCTGTAATACGTGGCTTTCTCAATTATACATGTTTAGTGACCATCACTAATGGTAGAAATGGATTTCTCAACCTAGGGCTTCCAGCAGACTTCCTCTGCAAAGCACAACATGCCCAACTCCATGCCAGACAGATGCTCAGCAGAGACATACCGTGCTGTCCTTGGGAACTTTCATCTTCCACACTCCACCCTTGGCATTACTCTCTTCCTCCCTACATCAAAGAACAACATTTAAAGTTTCACTCCATGACGAAGGGGTATTCCTGCTTCCATTTGACAACAGCTGGCATGAAAAACAAAAGTGCACAGGTATTTTTCAGTAAATATTCATCAGCCACATGATTGGGAACAAAAGCTGAAGAATGAAGAGGGGAGGTAATGGAGATGAGAGGGAGCAACACGGAATCAGCTGTGATGGGGATGAGGGTGGGTGCAGGAATACAAGGACCTCATTCTCCAGGAGGTGCTACCCAGGGGCTTCCTGACTCTTTGGGGATGGACAACTGATGCACCAACTTTGCAGGGGTGAAGACCTATACATTCCAAAGCATATTCATAATACTGTCTCATTTAAATCACATGTAAACTTGGGTCACAGACTTAACAAGTGCTGTTGTGGTGGATCATGGCTTAATAGCCACTTCCTCTCTAGGAAAAGCATCCCAATTTCCCTGTTAAAGGCATTCTCGTATGGCTGATTCCATATCATAGCTTTAAAGATACACTGGCATCCCAGGTTTGCTTATGAGACCGTTTCTTCCTCATCTCTTGATTGGCCAGGGATGGAGAACTGATCTATGGTGAGCCCTAAATCTTTCTTTCTTTCTTTCTTTCTTTTGATTTTTCAAGACAGGGTTCTCTGTAAAGCTTTGTAAACCAGGCTAGCCTCAAACTTACAGAGCTCTGCCTACCTCTGCCTCCTGAGTGCTGGGATTAAAGGCATGTGCCACCGCTGCCTGGCTGAGCCCTAGATTTTATTGTGATTGGAGAATGCCTACACTTATAAACCTGAAGGACATAAATCACCACTCACAGCTCACAGGACTGGTAGTATAGGTCTGCCACCCCAGCTATTTAGGAGACTGAAGCAGAGGAATGGCAAGTTTAAGGCTTATCATGGTTACAAAGTGAGTTCAAGGTCAGATTGAGCAACTCAGTCCAACCTTGTCTCAAAAACTGGGGTTGGGTGCAGCAAGGATGTGGCTGTAGCTCAATGGTAGGATGTTTGCCTACAGGCTTTAGGTTTAATCCCAGTGTTCTGAAAGACTGGAACTTGAGAGATCTAATTTCCCAGAAGCGGAAAAGCCTGAATAAGAACTTAGCCAACATTAAGAAAGCAATGGTATGTTGACTGAGAGTGTCAGAGTCCCGATGAAACCTGGAAAGTCAGATGTGTGGGTCACCAGACGTGTGAGACACTAGCCCTAAGTGTGGACACCTCATCCACAGTTGTTCAATTTATGTTTCCCCCATTCACTGAGAAATGAGCTGAGTCAGAATTTTATTTTACTTGTGAGTAAGTAACTGTGAAAGGTTAATGGGTATAAAGATTTACTGGTGTAAGGGCCCCAGCCTGGGCAAACTGACTGTTCCGTGCCCTCACTACACCAAGTGATTAAGGAAGCTACATCAGGCTCCTCTGAGGACCAGGGCCTTGATAAGCAGGGCACACTTTCTGGTAAGAGGCATGTCACAGGTGACAAGCATCCTCATGAGGTTCACGGGTATTTTCTGCCCACCTTGACCTCCAGGTGAACCATACACACTTACCAAAGTGGTCGCCTCTCTCCTCTCATTAAGTGATAACTACATCTCAAAGGCAGGCTGGTCACAGGAGGGATGTTATTGTACACACTCCAGAATATCTTTAAAAGAAAAACACTTCGTTTAATATACCCAGTATTGATTAACAATGTCAGTACATTTTATAATTAATGTGTTAAAGAAAAATATTGATTTGCATTAAGTCCTAGCCATTTGGAATGGATTTTTTCTCATTAGCTCTTCAAATTTTTTAATGTAGAATATTAAAACAGTGTTCCTTATAGATGTTAGGTTCTATTTTTTTTAAGAAAGATACTGTTATGAGGGAAGTATTCCTAAGCAAAATATATCATAAAACCAGAAAGGTAATAATGTAAAATGCCACGACTGGAGTTGGTTTTTTCAGATTTATCTTATTTTGTGCGCTATGACTGTTTTGCTTGCACGTATGTGTGTGCACCATGTCCATGCCTGGTGCCTGCAGCAGTCAGAAGTAGGTGTCAGATACCCCGGAACTGAAGTTATGAGTGGTTGTGAGCCACCATGTGGGTTCGGGAGCAACAAGAGCTCTTAATGACTGAGCCATCTCTGTAGCCCATGATGTTGATAAAAGTTGGTTTTCATTAGGAAGTGTTGTCAAATGTGTAGATTTCAGCAGCTCTTGTTACAAGAGCATGTGAGCTGAATATGTTAATTCATTAACCTGAACATATATGGGGACCTAGATCTTTTGTGTTTTTGAAGATTTGATTAGAAAGATTACAGAAAAAGCATGCTTTGCATTTTACATTTCAATATAATATAGGACCCTCACTGGGGGTGGGGTTTGGAGAGATGGCTTAGTGGCTAAGAACACTTGTTATTCTTGCACAGGACCTGGGTTCTATTCCCAGCACCCACATAAGCTGGCTCACAGTCATCTGTGACTCCAGCTCCAGGGGTTCTGATGCCCTCTTCTGACCTCTGTGGGCATATGAATACATATGGTGCATAAACAGACAGGCAGGGATGCACATATACACACATACAAAATAAATTAAAAGATCCCCATCAGTTCTATTTCATCGTCAATGGAAACTCATCATAAACAAGTGGACCTATAAAACTTGGCATCTTGAAACAGTGGGTTGCAAAGAAACTGGTAGCAGGACAAGGTTTCTAATCGGCAGCAACAAAATTAATTCAAAATTAAATAAGTAACCAATCTGGAGTGTTCTTGGAGTATTTGCCTGTGTTGCTGGTGTAACTTCACTACAGCCTTGTTTCTGAACACACAACATGTGCACTTTGCACTGGACTTTCTGTCACAAATGCAACACTAATGAGCATGCCTAAAACTCATCCACTCAGATTTGGGAAGACTGCATGCTATTGCAGTATTTTTCACTGTACATATGAAATATTTTGCTATGACAGAAGCATAATGTTTATGGGATACAAAAACTCTTAACCCTTTCCTCCCACCATTCCTCAACATGTAAGTATCAAGTTAGTATATACTTGGATTGGATTAGAACGCTTGGCTTGAGAGCTAGAGAGAGAGAGAGCTCAGTAGTTAATAGCACTTGATGATTTTACAGAGGACCCAGGTCAGGTTCAATTCCAAGCACCTACATGGCAGCTCACAACTCTCCTTAACTTCAGTTCCAAAGGATCTGATGCCCTCTCTTCTGACCTCTTTGGGCACCAGGCACACATATGATAAATATGAAGACAAAAAAATGCATACACAGAAATAAAATGTTAGAATGTTTGATTTTTAAAAATTGTAGTATGAGTCGCTTGCTTATATTTCACTTAAAAAAAAACAAATAAATTCTGGCTTGGGGTTAGGACAGAATTTCCAATGACTTTTGAAATGGCTGTAAAAACACTTTTGCCATTTTGTAAAGTGGCATTCTCAGTATTATTATAATATCAAATGTTTATGAACTCTAAAACATGTTGAACACACTGTGTTATGCAATATCAAATATTGAGCTAAGGTATATTCCTTTAGATAAAAATTAAGCATTTCCAACTCATTAGCATATACATTTCATTTTGTCTTTAATAAATGACACACACACATACATATACATGTGCCAAATAATTGTTTTTTTTTGCCAAATAATTGTTTTAAGATAAATATTGTTATGGTCCATCATCAGTAATTTTTATTTATTTATTTTTTTAAAGATTTATTTATTTATTACATATACAGTGTTCTGCCTACATACCAGAAGAGGGCACCAGATTGAATTGTAGATGGTTGTGAGCCACCATGTGGTTGCTGGGAATTGAACTCAGGACCTCTGGAAGAGCAGTCAGTGCTCTTAACCTCTGAGCCATCTCTCCAGCCCATCAGTAATTTTTAAAATGTGCATACTTAGCTTATATTCCTATATACCAGGTCCATATAAAACCCTGTCAGATGTGAAGGTTCAAGTGTTCCAGTCAGTTCCAGAAGCCCTGTTCTAAAGCACACACATTCGCAACCGAAAGGATCTTGCTAACAGATACTCTACTGGCATGGTTTAGCAGAACCTTTAGCATGATTACCAAACCACACTTCCTTACAGCAGACTCTGCCAGGAAGAAGTCTATGGTGTTTTGCCCGGGGCTGAGGGTGGAAAGGAAGGCAGGAGTAAGCACATTAGATCCTAACCCCTTTCCTTGCTCTGCCTAAAGGGATCAGAGAACAGCTCAGCAACCAGGCCATAAGGTACCAAGATGCAGTATACATCGGGTCTGTGTCTTTTCCAAGGCAGTCCTTTGGCCTTCATACACACACACACACACACACACACACACACACACACACACACACAAACACACACAGCAGGATGAACTACAGAGATGGTAAAGACGGACTGAAAGGAAATCAAAGGCCATACATAAAGTTTGCATTGGTAGACTTAATCAGTGGGGAATCTACTTCAAAAGTCTTCTATTTTAAATGGTGCTAATTTAGGTAATCACGCAATTAGCATGGCGTGACAGAAGATCCTGTAACAGACATGTGTTCATGTGGAGGGGTGCCCTCTCTGTTAGTGCAAACAGTAAGATCTCTGCAATACCTCAGCTTTCGTCTGTGTTGTTACTGTGAGTAGGCAGAGCTGGAACTTCATTCCCAAGCCCCTAATTTTTAAAAACTACTAACCTATTTTCTTTGATGATACCACTATATATTTTGTGCATATCTTTCTCCAGTCTCAGAAGTCACAGACAAGTCATGTGTAGTTAGAGTCACAGAAGGAGGGACATCTGCTGACATCTTCCAACCTGTTAGATGTCCTTACCGCCACTTGCTATGACATGGCAATGACCTCTGCAGAATCCATGGACAAAATGATGCAAAACCAAAAACCCTTGTCCAAGAGAAAGCCGAAAGGATGCTGCTGACAGCAAACTTCAGCTCTGAAGGTCAACTCTCCCAAAGCTCCTCCCCTGACCCCCCTGCCAGTCTTCTACAGTCCTGACCTTTTGGATAGCATTTGAAGTACTTAGAAAATGACACACGGCACACATTTCTCTTATCTCAAACCTGAGAAAAGGCCAAAGGACCCTGTTCAGGGTTGTAGCCTTGGAAGAATAAAAAACAAGAATATCTCTGAGCTTGTTTACTTCGGTGAATCTGGCAGGAAGGAGACAGAGCAGCGAGATGCAATGGTGGGCTGAACCTGGGAGTTGTTTATCACTATGTGTGTTTGTGCTTGAACACAGAATGGGAGCAAAAGATACAGGTGTGCCGGTGGGAAGCACATGGCACTGAACAGCTGTCTCTGTGTTGTTGCAAACCTCCCTCCTCTGTTGTCTACTTGTCAGTATGTCTGGTAGAGAAGGCGCATGAGGGAGGACCTCACACTGGACACTCCTGGAACCCTGTTCTTCCCTGCAGGAGGCAAAGGACTGAGACAGTGCAAGCTTGACGATTCACGATGACTCTTTCCATAACCCCTAAATGCTACCACAGCTTCAACTTTGCAAGCAGATTTCCAGAGACACCAGCCTTATAATTAATCCTCTCTGGCCTCCAACAGAGCACTGAAGTACAGCTTAGCCCAATGCTTCTTAATGATAGTTAAGTGCTCCCTGACCCCACAAAGCCTCAGTGATTACCCAAGGGCTAGCACAGGTGTCCATACTGGCACCCTTCATTCAATCAACATTTGGGGATGCTAGCTATGCTTGCATGTGTCCTGCACTGGGATGGAACTAAGCTAATGTGGAAGGACAGCTGTGGCATGGGCCCACACACTGGCTGATAATTATTTCAACATCATTGTTGTTCTCCTTGAGGAACTAAGGCAGAATGAAGTCTAAGACCTGGACTTAAGGTATTGCTTCTCAGAAAATGTCACACAGCCATCAAAAGCCCCACACCCCCATGCATGAGCAGTAGGTGTACCACATGGCTACCTCAATGGGTAAATCAATGACCGCACACTGAAAGCAATTGGAAGGCCTACATAAGGATGCCAGATATGATCATTCATCAAATATGGAGGGCATAATTGTGAGAGGTTTTTTTTTTTTGTTTAGTATGAACTAGAGGAATCCACTTCTAGTCCAGCCCTTTGAGGTGGGAAGACACACCTTTAATGTGAGCCACCCCTTCCGCTGTTAGTTTATATAAGGACCTGGAAGAAGGAAGCTTTTGCTCTTTGCCTGCTTGTCATGGTCTTGCTGGCCCACCGACTCCTTTCCCGGCATTAGAGCCTACTTCTTTGGGATACCAGCATATACCAAAGACCAACTGAGATATCTAGCTTTGTGTACTGAGAAACTACTGGATTCTTGGACTTTCCATTCACAGCCAGCCATTGTTTGATTAGCTGTACTGCAGCCTGGAAGTCATTCCAATAAATCCTCTTTACACACACACACACACACACACACACACAAACACACACGGGGAGAGGGAGGGAGGGAGGAAGAGAGAGAGAGAGAGAGGAAGAGAGAGAGAGAGATCCATTTCACAGATTCTGTTACTCTAGAGAACTCTGACTAATACAGGAGGAATGAGGAAAAGGGGAAAGGTATGAGGGACAAGGGAAAAAGACACCCCAACTGGGGAGTATTATGAAATAATTTTTAGGTTTTGTTTATTTTTATTTTATGTGCACTGGTGTTTTACCTGCATGTATGTCTATGTACCACATGAGTGTAAAGACCACAGAAGCCAGAAGAAAGCATAAGATTCCCTGGAATCTGTTACAGATGGTTGTGAGCTGCCACGTAGGTCCTAGGAATTGAACCCTCTGGAAGAGCAGTCAGTGTTCTTAACCACTGAGTCATCAGGACAAGGGGGTATTCTTGCTTCAGGGGATTGCCACAGCCTCAAAGCTCCTCTTGCTCTGAGAAGGCAAAGGGCAGACAACATTCCTACCCTCCTCCCTCCTACTCTGGGGCACGTGATTGATAAAAAGCATATGGGCAGTGGGAGCTAAAGTTTGGATGTGAGTGTACCCAACAGAGGCCACCATGATCTGAGGCCATGGCAGGGCCAAAGGTAGCGGGTGGCTGATGAGTTCCAGGTGTGCTTCTACTGTTCAGAGGTAAACGAGAAAAGGGCAGACAGGTACCCCCAAAAGATTTAACATTGGAAGACTTTACATGTAAGATTTAACATTTAATGTAAGATTTTACATTAGAAGTCACTAAATCATTTGCAGTTTGTAATAAAATCTCATTTTCCAGCCCCTACCCTGCAATGCACACACAGGACCATGAGCAATCTGACTTAATTCTAGCTCCAGGTTGTGACTATAGATGCTGATCTCATTATACAAATGATGACTGAAGAATCCTTTTACACATGACATTAAGTTTGTATGAGCAGCACCACAGGCAAAATTGGCTTCATGTCCTTGTCCTGTTTCCCTTTTAGTTTTTTTCTCTTCCTTCAAGGGGGCTCCAGATACTGCTGTGACAGGTGGTCACCCACCATTGGCTACCCTGTTATGAACTAATCTCTCCCATCATTCCCATCAATCCTGACTTAGGAAAGTTCTGTAATGGAACAGTTTAATTCCTCCAGCTTTGGAAAGCAATCTGCTGCCCTGATTAAATGACCTTTAACAACACAGCACAATCAGGTAGCCTGACCTCCAGGTAAGGGACATGCACTGCTATTTCAAAAAAATTAATACACATATGTGGGCTTGTATGTGTTCCTGTGTGTGTGTGTGTGTATGCACATGTGTATGCACATGCATCCTACATACCTGCACATGTGGAGTTCAGAGGACAACTTGTGGGAGCTGGTTCTCTCCTTCCATCCTGTGGGTTCTGGGGCTTGAACTCAGATGGTCAGGCTTGGTGGCAAGGGTCTTTACCTGCTGAGCCATCTCCCAGGCCCATACTCCCCTACTATTGCACTATACAGGATGTTCATGTTTTTCAACTTTAGTGGATTATATATACTGCTTATGAAGCTGTTCTGGTTATGAGGAATGACATAGAAATTTCACTTGCAGAAGAAACACACAGTTTCTATTCTCTGAAAATTTCAGTACTAAGTCGCCTATGGGATGTCCTGGGTAGAGCACAGGAAAGGTGAGGCCAGAGGGACAATTCATGAAGGTGATAATACAAATGACTGAAGTCTGGGGTGGAGCTCTGGAAAGGAGTACTTCCAGAGGTGGAGTCAAAAGTTTACAGGCAGGCAATGCTGGAAAACCTGCTACAAGCCAGGCCTCCCTTGCAAACCACACTGAACGGGTAGCTCTTCATTTTGCCCCAGCATAGACTGGGCAAGCTCGGAAACCATGTTCTGTCCTGAACTTGGCCCACTGAGGATGCAGAGACATGAGAGAAAAGGGCAAAACCTGTAAATGTCCAAAAAGTGGGACACACACTGAATGGAGAAGTGGGATGTTCTAAGGAAGCCAGAAAGCAGCTGGTAAATTTACCTCTCGCAGAGAATCACTGTGGCTGCGGCCAGTGTTCCGGGCAGAGTCATGGGATCCTGCTGGTGCCCTCTCTTGCTCCATTCCTCACACAGGGGAAGGAAAACTGAGCTGACCCAGAAGCAGAGGCACTTCCGGCCTTAGAGAGTCAACGAGCAGCTGTTTCCACTGCAGCGTTGGGTCTTGTGTCTCAGTTTCCCTAGCTCATAAAAGAGGATGATGTCCTCCTCCCCCCAACCCCCGTCCCGAAACTTGAACTTGCAGAAAGTCCTTAGGGTAATAAAAGAGATGATGTCTGATGTTAAGCCATTGTTATGGCACATGGTTCTTAAAAACTTCATCAAAACTAACGGGGAGGGGCACAGACACCATTAGGCAAATATTTAAATAAATGCTATAGTAGCATCAAGACACAGACAGGGAATAAAGAAGGCAAGGAGGAAAGCCTGTCCTCGCGTGCTCAAATGCTCTTGCCCCTGCTAGTTCCTCAGCACTAAGGACCATTCCTGAGATGCTAAGGACAACCACAGCCGAGTCACAAAAGTTACAGACAAGTCAAATTTGTTTTTATAAATAAAAGGTTTTAGTGGTGTCATCTGAGAGTATCCACTTGGCAGGAGTGGCTGAGGAGCTGTGGTATGTAATATTCTTACATGAACTATGACACAGATGTTCACAATGAGGCTGCAGCGCAGGAGACAGGTGATGAAAGGCCAGCGTACTATTGGCATCTGTCACCTACTGGGCATTTTTACTTTGCCATCCCATCCTCACCTCAGCATGAAAAATCTGTTATGACTGTTTTTGCTTGGAAGATGAGTAAATAAGACATATAGAGGTTTAAAAGAGAGCAATGCGTACATGTTACTGAGCGTCAGCTCTGATACTCAGTATGACTACTCTGCATCCCAATCCACACCCTATGCAGCAAAGGGGCAGGTTCCAGGAACCTAGTAACACTTGGCAACATATTATGAGGGCTTGTAAACACAAGCCCCACCTAGAGCTACATCTGCTCTCACCCCCAGTCAGCCTCATGGGACAGACGCCATTCTCCTATTAGTTGTACAAATAAGGAACTTGAGGTGTTTCACAACCTCTTTCTCATCGTTGTCCCCTCCCACCATCTTGAAGGAACCCTGAAAAAATTTCCAACCACAGGGAAACCCTGTGTTTATCTATAGACTGCACATGTGTCTGTGCTTCAGACACATAAAGACTAAGGTCTGGCTGTGGACCTCCCAAGAACCACATTTCTGTCCCACCTAGAATGTGCAGCCACCACTGGGTACAGCTTTATGAGAACAGTGTATAGGGAACAGAAAAATCCGTGCACGCATTCATTTCTCATTCATTCATTCCAGCCTTCAGCATTAACTGCGTGAAGAGGTCAGATATAGCAGAGAATGATCCTGCATGCGTCTACTTGACTCTGTCTCAGATGGAAGGACTTACACTAATAGAACAGGAGTGGTGGTTGCAAATGGAGAAGAGTCTGAGGGGAGAGGACTCTGAAGACAGGCAGGCGAGGGGCACGTGCACCTTAGCTTTTAAAAGTCCAGACTTGGAAAATCTGCATCCTGCTAAATTCTATCTCAGTACAATAGGGAAAAGTCTCTCCTGGCCTGTGTCAGTTCTGGGTCTTTAAATTGGTCCCGGGGGACCCTAACAGATACACTGCCGGATGTGAACCATGCGCCATGTGCTGTTACCATGCTGTGGTGGGAAGATCACTCTCTAGCTTCCGTCCTGGAATCCCTCAGCCCATTCGAAGGCTCTCAAGTCACAGCAGAGTGGAGAAAGGAGGACTCCCTCAAAATCCCAGCAGGGTAGAAGAGCTTCCTCAGGCAGGCAGGCAAGCCTTAAGATCAAGGGCTCTGCTTTACAAAGTGACTCCTGGGAAGAGTAACGAAAGTCTACAAATTCACCAAGGGTGGGGGGTGTCTCACAGAGACTGGGGGATGTCTAATTTTCTGGGCAGCAGCTCCTGTGTTCCCCCACAATACTGCATTGGAGCACTGAATGGTGACCCTAGAGCAACACAGCTTGATTTTCACGTATATGTCACTTTCTCAAGAAGACGAGAAACGGCTCATGGTTGGGACTGTCCTTACACCATTCAACTGTGTTCACAGGGGCCACTCATGCTGCTTAACACCAGGCTCCTGGGGCTGTGTAAGTTATGAAGGTGCAGTCTGTTAAACCTGATAAAGGTTTGATCGCCAGCACTGATATTCTGTTTGCTTTGCAAAGTTTCTCTGTGTAGGTCTGGCTGTCCTGGACTCAATCTGTAGACCAGGCTGGCCTTGAACTCACAGAGGTCCCCCTGCCTCTGCCTCCCAAGTGCTGGGATTAAAGGTGTGTGCCACCACTGCCTGGCTCATCAGCACTGATATTAAAAAAATGTAGGTGTAGTGGTGTCCATCTCTACTCCAGGTAGTGGTGAGCTGGGGGCAGAAACAAATGGGAGCTTGCCAGGTGGCCTAATCTACAAGGCAAGTTCTAGGCCAATGACAGACCCTGTGCTTGAGGACTGACACCCAAGGTTAGACTCTGATCTTTACATACCAGTTATGCAGAAACTTAAAGGAACAGAGGCAGAGTGTGGTTGACACATAGGAGTCTACAAGGAGCGTGGAAGAACATCTTAAAAACCTTCCCTCTTGCCTCCTCTGCATATCACTGAAAGATTTTGGTGATAGGATTTGAGGTAGGGCCAGAGACAGCCTGCCTCTGAGGTAGATGGATAAATAGTTGCCATGAAAATGGACCTAAAGGACAACTCCAGGGTGGAGCTCTGAGCAAGGGCTACCAAAGCAGTAGAAAACTTCAAGTTGTGCGATAAAGTGTCCAGTCTGCCCTTGCGTGACAAAGCATGTCCCTTCCCACTCTCACCTGTACTGTTTGCACAGTGTAGAGTTTCTTCAGGTTCGAGGCACACTCAGCTGCTGTGGCACCAGGGAGTGATCTAACACCAGCAAAACAACAAAGAAGCAAACAAATCCAGTCAGTGATTGGAAGATACTCCACAACATAACTATATAGGTTTTCACAGCACATGTGTCTAAAGCCTCCGAACAGGGATTTGGAGATGCTGGCTTTTTTTAAAATTATTTTTTATTTTTTACTTTTTTGGTGAAGGCACATGCATGCTTCCCCTAATAGGTTTTGGCTTTTGTTTGTTTTGTTTTTGTTTTTCAAGACAGGGTTTCTCTGTAGCTTTGGAGCCTGTCCTGGAATTCACTCTGTAGGACAGGCTGGCTTCCAGCTCACAGAGATCCTCCTGTCTCTGCCTCTCTAGTGCTGGGGGGATTAAAAGTGTGCACCACCATCACCCAGCTTCCTAACTGAATTTTTATTTTGAGGCAATTGAACTAAAATAATTTAAAATAAAAAGTTAAGTATACAAGACAGGTATTGGCCACTTTAAAAGCACATGGTGAAAAGTATAAAAATACCCTATGAACATGAAGGCAATGAGAACTCCTCCTCCTCCTCCTGGCGATTGGTTGAAAACCCTACAATCCCTGGTGGTAAATACCCACAAATCCCTGGGAAACAGTACCATTTAGTTTTGCTTTAGAGAATGCTATTAACAGTCTTGGTCCCCCCCCCCCCCAAATTTCTTGCCTTAAAAAAATACGTTCAGTAGTTTCTACTGAGCTCACACAAGCAGCTCTTGTGAACTGCATGGCCCTAACACACTAATCCCTGGTTTCTATACATTCCACTAGATGGCAACACACTACAGGCTTAGTCTCTGGGAGGAAAAAGGTGTACTTGGACTTTCCAGTGCCGTTCCTGGAACTGGGATGTGTTGATCTATAGGCATTCAGACATTCTGTTATCACCATTGTTTCTCTTTCTTCCTGCTGACTAACAGTCTGTACGTAAAGGAACTGGGATCCTTGTCAGCATCAGGTCTAAGACACTTCACCACACAAACAATGCTCAAAAGCCCATGTCTGTCTGTGGGAAGCAATCAAGGTCATGCTAAGAGGGGAAACACCTTGCTTACCACTGACACACGGGGATCTAGAATCTATAAAAGAACAGTCTTCACCAGTCACTGACCCTAATGACCCTAAGAGACACAGTCCCAGGGGTCACCAACATGGGACACTTTCCAGAGAGTTGCTATCCATTGTATCCTAGAGATGTGGAGAAGACCCACAGCATCTATGAAGCAGAGGTGATGAGATGGCTGTGGGGACAGGAATCCACTGCCCACATTCTGGAACCATGGGCCAATGAGGACATTAGAGCTGGGGCGATAGCTCAGTGAGGGATGTGCTTGCCGTGTAAACATGAAGACCGGAGTTCAAACCTTCAGCAGTCATGTGAAAGCCACAGGCATTGACAGACATCTGTAACCCCAGTGCTGGGGGAGAGGGGACAGGTGGGTCTCAAGGGCTTGCTAGTCAGCCATTTTGCTGAAATGGCAAACCCCAGGGTCAGTGAGAGACCACCCTATCTCAAAATATAAGATAAAGATCAATAGAGGAAGATACACACCAACCTCTGGCCTTCACGTGGGCTTGCACAACGGTACACACATATATACATCACATACACACATCTAAATATTAAAGTGCATTTTGGGGCATAGTCCCCTTGTCTAGAGGTCAGCAAGGAAGCAATTATGGACTAGTTTAGGGGCAAAGATATCTTGTTACCCATGAGGCAGGTAAACTCTAATAAAAGTCATGAGTACACAATTATTTCCTGTTTGTAGTTTTTATGGCCTTTATTTTTAAAAAGCAAAAAACCATAGTCACAAATACAGCTGCCTTTTTGTGTCAGGCATCACCTAGGCTTCCCTGAGAAAATGGTGATGATGAATACACAGGAACCAACAAAACACTTCCCTGAGAAAATGGTGATGATGAATACACTGGAACCAACAAAACACTTCCCTGAGAAAATGGTGATGATGAATACACAGGAACCAACAAAACAAAACCTATCAGGCAGCAGGGGTGGTCTGGACTGCGGTCACTAAAGCATCCACTTGGACAAAGATAAAGATGCCACATAAAGTAGGCTATTGTGCCACAAATTATAAAGACATTAGGAAAAAAAACTGAAAGGATTCAACCTCTTTTTTTTTTAATTTGCTGGGCATGCACTGTTTGAAAGTCTATTCTTTTACGTGAAAATTAACTGGTGCTTAATCCAACGAACTTTTCTTTCTTTGCACAGCCTGGAGAACTGCTCTACCAAGTGCATCAGCAAATACATCCCCAGGTCCCACAAGCACTTTAGACAGCCCTCCTTCCCTTGCGGCACCCAGGAAGCGGGCAGCCTAAAGTAGGAAATGAACTCTGCAGGTTTTTAATCTGCAAAATAAAATTTCACTGATTTTCAAAGCCACTCTTCAATTTAAAATAGCTTAGAGGGAGTATTATGTGAGTATTCACTTCAGACAGTATCACGTCAAATTCTATAAATCCAACATGCAGGCGGTAGCTACCATTTAGCTTTCGAAAGGCGCTGATGAACACTTGGTCTCTGGGCTCTTTTGTGGCCCCTGTTTCTAGTCTGCTCTCCTCCTGATAATTGCAGGAGACAATTATACATGTCACTTAGGGTCTCTGTTTCTCTGTCCAAGTGTTCGGAGATGCTGAGTTTCCAGAGCTCGGGAGAAGCATCTGGAAGGAAGCAATTAGGATGTACTCACCAGTGGAAGACAGCAGAGTCCGCAGGCAGCCAATGTGAGGTGACTCCTACTGAGTGATACAGTCCTGCTGGGGCCCCTGTAGCTTACAGCGGTGCTTGCGACCATTTTACAGTGAGCACTCTGGGGTTCAGAGAGGGATGCCAACTGTCCCAAGGACATACTCATTTCATGAAACCAAATGATGCACTTTCGATGGCTGCTCATCATCCCACACTGTGGATGTGGAGCTGCCCGGTCAAGTCACAGCAATTACAAAAGCTGGGTCTCATCCATGCTAAGCACGTGTTCTACAACTGAGCTTCACCCAGTGCCACACTTCCCTTTGTGTGTGGATGAGCGTACCGTGGTATCTCCATCAGTCACTCTCTACCAGTTTTGAAGACAGGGTCTCCCACTAAACCTGGAGCTCATCAACCAGCTAGGCTGTCTGGTCAACAAGCGTCTGGGATCCTCCTGTGTCCATCATGCTGCACTAGGGTTGCAGGTGTGGTCAGCGCACCTGATTCTCTACACCCAAGTCCTCTTGCTTACATAGCAGGCACTAACTCTCCCATCCACACTTGCATTTCTAAAAGGCAACTAAAAGCTACCTATTTTCTGTTTGCATGTGGGGTGTGTGTGTGTGCGCGTGTGCATGTGTGTGTGCACGTGCATTACTCTCGTCCATATGTGCACACGTGGAGACCAGAAGCTGATGTCAGATGTCTTCCTCTATCATTGCACACTTTATTTCTCTGAAACAGGGTCTTTCACTAGCCTGGAGATTGTTGTTAGGGCTATATTAGTTGGTCAGCAAATCTTCAGAATTCTCCTGTCTCAGTTCCCCAGTGCTGGGTAGGGTGGTGGCTGGGGGTTACAAGCATACCATGCCTGGCTTCCACACAAGTGCTGAGGATCCAAGTTCAAATCTTCATCATGCATAGGAATGACTTTAGCCATCGGGCTATCCCTCACCCCACATCTTCATTTCCTAAGGAATGATGGCATGTTCTCTACAAGGCCGTCTCTTTGCTTAATCTTATTTTAATTCAAAAGTGTGTCTGTGGGGATTAGAAGACACATGGTTTAAAATAGTCTTTCCAATGAAGCAGGGCAAGGAAGGTCCTTGTGACACCCAACAGGAACATGCTCGGCCATGGCCATCCTTTGATAGGCTAACAGTTAGATACCAATGCATCAGGGCTAGGAAGGAAATGACAGGCTCCACAGAAACTCCGTGTAGTAGCTTGAAAACAACCCCATTTGAAGAAATGTACCTAAGCGGTGACACTGTCTGGTTGTAGGTCAGGGAACCTTAAGGAGGTAGGTAGATCCTTGCTGGATAGAAGTGTGTGTGTGGGGGAGGGAGGGCTTTGAAAGCTTATTGCCTTGTCCCTCTTCCTGTTTTCTCTGTTCCCTGTGTGCAGATGAAATGTGATCAGCCAGCTTCTTACTCCTGCTGCCATGCCATGCCTTTCCCTGCTATGATGGACTCTAGCTCTTGGGAACTCTAAACAAAACTCTGATCTCACAGGTCCCATCTAGCTGCTGGGTGGTTTTATAAATGTTGGTTTTGCCTATAAACACAGCAGTGTTGCCAGGACTGTGTTAGCTCGACTGGTTAGTGTAGGTTTGGTGTTCTAGTCACCAAACTTGATCTCAATAGTCACTAAAACACACTGTTATGTCTCAACTTCACCCCTGAACTTCAGGTTTCCTTAACCAGCAAGATGGGGCCACAGCCACAGAGCCCATCTAAGAAGGGCAAAGCAGCCAAGGTTTTCAAGTGACGAGCTTCGTAAGCAGGCCAATGTGCACTGACTTGCTGATGCAAGGTGTTTCATCTGCTGCTATCTACTGTGACTGCGTTTTTCTTCATTGCTGAGGACTGAACCCACAGCCTCACACACACTAGGCAACTGGGTTACATCATTAGCACAGTTTTGGGTTTTTTTCTACAGATATATTTTGAGACAGGGTCACATTATGTTGTCCAGGCTGGCCTTAAACTTGAGATGCTTCTGCCTCAGTCTGAAGAGTAGTTGGAACTACAGGTCTGTGGCTGTTTCTTGAAAAGGCAATGCAGACCAAGTAAGGCTGCTGCTACATAAGCAACTGAAAGGCCAAGATGTATAATAGGTTTCAAATGAGAGACGTTCTTACTGAAACCACATATGCAACGTATCTTTATTATATCTTTTACCTTACCAACATCAGAGATCTCATCTTCTAATACTAATACTAACCAGAGCCCTCTGCCTGCAGACCAGGGCACTAATCTGGAATGGCAGTGACCCAGGTGACCGAAG